AGCAAGAACTCTACTACTGAGCCACGTTCCCAGCCCAAAAGACTTTATTTTTAACTTGTTTCCCCCCGCTTCCCCTACCCTTCTTTCAACCTGTTGAGAGCAATTTTAAGATATTAGAATAGGCCAAATTCAAGCCCTTGGTTTTTGTTTGTTTGTTGAGACACGGACTCAGTAAATTGGTGCACAGCCCAGGCTGGGCTCCGACTTGCACCTCAGTCCCCCTTGCTCCGCCTCCAGAGCGCTAGGATCGCAGACGCCTGCCGCCGCACCAAGCTCATTGAGCCGTAATATCATCACCCAATCCCACCCGCTCCAGGGGTGGAGCCTAAACTCGTCCTCCTTTCTCCATTTGCTCTCAGTCCTCCAAACCTGTCCTGCGTCGCAGGAACTACATTTCCCAGATTCCCTTGCGTCCTGCCTCCGGGAAGACCTAGCCAATTGCAGGCGCTGGCGGCTGTAATTTAGGAGAATACCAGCGTTTGTCTCCTCTCCCGTGGAAAGCACCTTCCTAGTCACTGCATCCTGCAGGCTCCAGTTCCCGCCTTCCCCTGCGTCTCCTGGCCCTTGGGCTCCGGGGACCCCACTTCCTTCCTTCGTCCCCACCCGCACCCCCGCCCTGAGTTCGTGCATCTCTGCTACCCTGAGTCTCCCGGAAATCCTCGCAGCCCGCCCGGCTCTTCAGCTCTCATCACCTACGGTGACGGCTGTGAGAAGTACCTATAGCTCGTGTGGCCTTCGCTCTTCGTCCGAAGGTGGGGAGCCCAGTTCTCCCCCCCTCGAAGAGGAGGCAGCCGAGCTTGCAACTCACTTCTAGCAGACAGGTGTGCGGTGCGAGTGCCCAAGCAGACCTGTTCTCTTGAGTCCCTTCTGCTGGGGGAGCCGGCTGTCCGTCCGGCATGTCGTGAGGGCTCCCAGCAGCTCGGTGAGAATCCCCCGTGGCAAGAAACAGGCTTCTCTCCCCAAGGGCTGTGCCAGTACACACGCTTGGAAGGGGGTTCGCCAACGCCAATCCCACTTCAGAAAACTCCAGCCTACATGTTGTTGATGTTATCGTCTCGATTTTGAGACAGAGTCTCACTCTGTAGTCCAGGCTGGCCTTGAACTCTTGGCGATCCTCTTGCCTCAGCCTCCCAAGTGCTGGATGTACAGATATACACCCAACACCAGCCTGTATCTTGACTGCAATACCCAGAGACATGCTATATCAGAGCTGCTCAGCCAAGTCGCTCCCAAATTCTGGACCTGCCAAAACCCTGAAATACTACTGTTTGCGGCCACTAAGTTCTGGGCAAGCTGCACCACAATAGGTCCTGGTGCCCCTGGGTAACCAATGTCCTACATGAAGATTTTGTGTTGGAAAAGCCTGCAGTGAGTGCTACTTTCTCACTGGCGCAGACTTCGCAACTGTAAAGTAAGGACAAAAATTAGAAGAAGCCGGGCGTGGTGGCTCACGCCTGTAATCCCAGCACTCGGGAGGCTGAGGCAGGAGGATCGCTGCAAGTTTGAGGCCAGCCACACATGGTGAGATCCTTCTCAAAAAACAAAACAAAAAAATTAGACAAGAGAGTAAAGAAGGTAGAAAACCTGATCATTACTCTCTGGAAGTGAATGTTGGAGAATGCAACTTACAAGCTCAGACGAACATGGTACACAAGCGTGGGATGAGACGGTCACAGCCCTTTTTGTGGTACAGCAGTCACAGATGCCACAGGACTATGGCTCGGTCACACAGCACATCTGGGGGAAGAAACAAGATAGCAGCTCCCGCTGGTCATGGTGGCACTGCCAGTGGTCTCGATGGGGAAGTATGATCTCCCCCAACACAAGGTTGGGGTGCAGTTAACATCAAGAGGACACAGAAATACAGTGCGCACCACCAGTGACAACTGAGACCTAAGGAAAACTGACTTCAGCAAGCGGTGACACCTGATGAAGAGGGATTTGTGGGCAGGAGGCACTGCACCCCCC